AAGAATAGAGAGAGAGAGAGAGTTAAATATAATATATAATATTTTATTTAATATATAATATTATATTATTAATATTACTCAAAAAATAATTTTTTATTTTATATAGAGAAAAATTTTTAATTTTTAATTTGTTTAGGTTAGACTATAAATTACAAACACAAACATACATATATACACACATACACATATACATATATCATAAAATAACAAGATGATAAAAATAAATTAAAAACGATGAAGAGAAAAGCTGTGGAGTTTTTGCATTTAATTCTTTTGATTATTTGCGATGCAATTTATATGACGAAACAGATCATCCAGATAGATTCGAATTGAATATCAAAATATAGAATCGAAACATTGACGACACAGCCAACGCAGATAATCAATTAAAGATTAATTAAACAAAGATTTTTGTACATAAAATCATCGGAGCATTGTTATGTATTCTCCTGACTCCTGGAAAGCCTTCCAATTTGCTCTCATGCAGAAACCTGTGATGACCAAACTGTAATTGCGAAGTTTCAATAGTCGAGTAAATGGACGAATATTGAAATTTCTAATAGGTTTCGACATTGCGCATTCTCCGAATTGCGCTTGTATAGGTAATCTTTTATGATGATAAATTCGTGTATATGAAGGAACTTCTTTTTCGTAAAGAAAAAGAAAAAGAAGAAAAAGATTTATTGAGATTGATTTATCGACTCTTGAGCGCTTTTTTCTACTTTGCGAAAAAAGAAAAACTCGGTACGACTTTCTGCTCCGCATTTTATTCATTAAAGTTAATAGAGACTGGATCACTCGGACTTTACAGTGGACGTTTATTCGAAGATCGCTTGTCAAATAAAACTGATTTTTATATGTATTATTTTATATGTATTATTTTCATATTTTATTATTTTTATATGTTATTTTTACTTGTTATTTTTTTATCTTTTTTGTGGCAAAGTTATATTATTTAACAGAATACGCAAAATTCTCAGTACTTTTTTTGTCATTCGTGATTTTTTAATAGAAAAAAGCGATTTCTTTTTAAATAAAAATCTGGACACATCATGTTTGTTCATAACTTTTTAGTATTTTATTTTCATTTAAATATTTGTTTAGTTCTAATCTATAAATTAAAATTTTGTCAGAATATATTTATAATTAGATAAAATAATAAGAGTGTGTTTTGCGTTTAAAAATTAATTAATAAAAACTTTTGTTTAGTAAAACTTAATTAAAATTAACATTAATCAAGGATTTAAATAAAAGAGAATAACATACTATACATGAAGAATATCTCTTCAACACATAAGAAGTTAGAGATCGTTCGTTAATCATATTCTGTTTTCTCTATGCTGGATCTTTGCATATTTAAAAACTCAAATTACGATCAATTTTTATAAGCTTTTTGCAATAAATAGATCGTCTCCAAATCGTCTTAATTGCAATTTTCGCAGGGTTGACATTTTCTTAATGTGATTTTAAATCGGGGATCGCGGAATGCAATCAACCGGACGTAGTTAGTAGAAGGTTCATCAGCGCAATCAGTGGGATTGGTCCGTCTCGAATTACAGACTAAGCAAGCCGACAGAGCAAGCAAGTCCTCGCTTCGATGATTCAAGAGGGATCTCGATCGAAGCGGATAAGACCGAAACCGATCGAAGGAGGGTGACCGGAAACGCGCCCACCGCGAAACCACGGTTAAGCTCGACGACGTGTCGAGCTGCAATCCCTGATGCATATAATTTTCGTATTACCATCTCGCGCGCTATATCGAGCACGCGTCATCGAGAATATAATTACATAACCACGAGCTGAGAGATACATCGAATGCTTAGAATAGCTACCATGCGTTAAGCATCCCTCATTGTCGTCGTATTAGCGCTATTTCGTCTCTTCTCGATGACCGCATCACGTATACATCTTTCTTCATCCTTTTTCCATTCTATTTCTCTCCTCTATCACGCTTTCGCGATGCACATCTCTCCATGGTGCAATACACAATGATGGAAAACTCTCGCGCGATGCGATTGCAATGTCAACTTATACAGTACGAGCTTTGCAACAACGACTACGAGAGAAAATCAATAGACCCTTTTAACCCTCTTCTCTGTGAGAGGCTTTCATGGAAAAAACGCTGCGAGTGCCCGAACCGAGTTTTGTCGTGTATTGTTTATTGGTTAATTGTTGGAATTTCTTTTAATCAAAGGGATATATGCGTTACGCCCGCGTACGAGAGAGAATGGGAATACTGGCGATCGCGTATATAAAACGAAGCTTATTGATTTATATATTCACTGTTTCAATATACCCATCAAACGTAGCATAATAGAACCCGACTATAACGAATATCGACATAATGAAGTTTTCACTATTGGTTAATTGAAATGACATCCTCCGTTTGACAAGGTTTATCTGGACAATGCCGATATCGAAATGGTTATAAATAAATTTTTATACAATGTGTAAAGCAGCACAGTTTCAAAATAAAAATTTATGATTTAATTTTATTTTCGTGATTTAATTAGATTAAATTTACTTTTAGAATAGATTTTAAAATGTGATGTAAAATTTTTTATAATAATTGTTAATAAATGTTAATAAATTTATAACTAGAGTATATATTCGAAAATATGAGATTTATATTTCGATAATATTCAGAATTATTCCAATGAGATAATCTTATCTTCTACCTACAATCTTTTAATCTTTCTTATGTAATAACATCTAACAATCTTACCTGGAAGAAACGTGATATTGATAATGACACACATGTACTAATTTAAGATAAGATCTCCGCGCACTGTTACATATCAGATACTATATTAATTCAAACACAGGAGGATACTCAGAGAAGCGTTCGTTCGTCGATCATGGCGATCAAGAATGTCATATGTTTCCGCCTTGAAAACGAGAACGTGCCAATAAAAGCGTAATTTAAGCGGAGCAGGCACTAACTTGATAGACAAGGCTGCTGTACTAATCGATGTCAGAAAATCAACCATAGCAAGGAAGCAAGGGTATGGCGTTAATTGAATGTTATCGCTGATTAATCGACAGTATTCAGGAATATATAAGGTAGAATTATGCATATATTTCCATTATTAAGCGCATGCGCTTAATAATGGAAATACGAGTATAATGAAATAATAAATAAATAATTACAAATAAATTATTTCTCTAATTATGTAATCATAAAATATCATTAAATAATTTAAAAAATTATATATATATATATATATATATTACATTTGCATAAAAATATAACTTTAACAAATATTAACTAACGTTATATATTTCTTTACACAGCCATGGAAAATAATAGAGATTCAGTAAATATACACTGTGATGTATCTCAATCAACGATGATCGTCAAGAGATAAGCTACTCGCATATCAGAATTTTTTGATCAGAAATAAATATTTATATTTTCAATTCAAAGAATATTTATGCAGTTTACAAAGAAAAAATATCGCAAATAAATTTAAGTAACATTTTGTACTCTTTGCAGAATTTATGTTGCCAAGCATATAATATCATAGTAATTACATTGGATTATGAGCAGTTTTTCTTTTATCGGTGGCAAAATTTTTCTCTCGTTTTCCGCGATAAAGGTAAGCTGCGACTAACAATCCTGAGAATGTTTATGACATCTGTTAATTTAGATTGAATTGTCGGGACGCAATTACAAGATCTCGCTTGGCGAGCAATTCAGAATAAATTTCTCCTTCGCTAGGACTGTCTGTGAAATGTCAGATTATTCGTGCAAGACATTTTCATTAACGCTATGATTATTCGTATAATTACAGATTACGTCATATACTCTTGATACATTTTTTTCATGTAACTTATTGATTTTTTTAACTATTTATAAACTATACATTAAGCTATATGTGCACATATCTCGTATTTGAATTTTTTATAAACGATCAGTAGAGAAACAAAATATCTCTTACGAAATAATCTTTTTGCATAACCTTTCCGAAAAACATTATAAACTACGAATAATAAAGCAGCTTTTAATAAATCTTTAGAGATCTTGCTAAAAGTATTATAATAAATATTCAATTCATTTCAAATAAATTTTACGTAAAACGTTTAATTAAAATTTTAATTTAACTTTGTCAAATATAATTTTATTTTATTTTATTTTATCAAAATGAATATAATATTGCCATATAATTTACCAATATAAAAAAAATTGTGAAAACGATAACACTGAATTAAATAAATATTTGTTTAAAAAATCGACTTAAAATTGAATCATATGCGAAATAAGCTTGCAAAATACATAAGACCAGAATAAAAAAAAAAAAAGATAAAAAGCTCCCCTTCGTAGAGGATTCGTTTCACGATGATTGCATCTGACATCGGCAGCGCATTCGACCTTCGTCTCGTGTAGTTCGTCTGAAAAAGCAACGTTTCACGCTCGATTTGCCCAAGATCCCCTCTCGAAGAACCCACTCACAAAAATCAACCTACACGATCGCTCCTTGGAGCGTTCTCGGAGATATAAAACAGAACATTGTTTTACGAACAAATCGCGGGACAGCTTTTTTCTCCGTTTGATCCACGAGCTCATTCCAGGAGAGCACATTGTTTTTTTCCAGTAACAGTTTTTACACCGGTCGGATCCGGACAAAACATCTGGACATTATTCTATTACGTAATTTAGACCCCATACAACACATCGTTTTCTCTTTTCTTGCTCTTACTTTTAATATTATGATGATTCTTTATATATTATATTTTGTTGTATTATCAATTTGTAGAAAATAAGAAAAATGAGAAAAATTTACTTTTTTCATTCGTGTTTTTCTTCGTAAATTATGAATATCATGCGTTAAAAATAAAAAATAGTTTCAAAGAACAATTTTTTAAATAGATGTGATAGCTTTGTTCTAATGACATGATGTGCTAAGCTAAATGAAATAAAATGTCTCTCAAATAGATATAATGATAATTTTTAATAACTATTTTAACATTTTTGTTAATTTGGTCTTTTTTTGTTACAGGATCAAGTTTCTCGACGGAACGTTTTGCATTTAAAGGTAAGTTTCGAAATAATTAAATATATAGGAATTGTGCACTGAATCTTAATCTTATCCGAATCTTAAAATCTAAAAATTCTGAATTATAACGTGAAAATATTTATAAACCCAAAGTTTTATTTTAATTAGTTGAGTTTTTTAGGGATATATTCAGAAAATTAGAAATCAATAATTATATATTCAAAAGAATTTATATAATAATTGTCAATGTAGGCAAATTACAAAGTTTACGAATTTATGAGCTAAAAATTCGGAATTTTTTCTTTAAAGCAATGTATAAATTTCAAAATTAATATCTTCTAAGAAAATTCTTATTTTCGAAAACAATTGATAAATATTTCTTATAAAAATCTCCCGTATTATTTGCAATAGGCTAGCTATATTCGATTCCTGTACATATTTGTTCTTTTTACACATCGTTAAAAATAATATAACGTCATCTCGAATAATTAATTTTCAAGGAGACTCTATCGCTGTCGAATTCACAATCGCATAGTTATATTTTGTTCGTATGCAGACGAGTAATCGAGTACTCGTTGATCGCTTTTGCGATATTTACTCGGTAAATAGTAAAGAACTGTCCAGAGATCTTTCATATAGCGAAACACACGAATCATAAAACGGGCTGTTTGCGTTTCCGAGATTGAATCCCACGTGTGCGTCTAACGGAAATTGACATCGGTCGATTCACTCGAATTTTTGATTTCAATTGGATTATGGAGAAAATGCCACGTGCAATGCGCTCACCAGAACTACGCATCGTTGGTCGGGAACCAAGGTGCGACGGACCGTAACGGGATGGGAGTAGGACATGCATTAGGATATGCGACGGAAGCTTTCGAGCGTGCTTCGAAATTTCAATTTAGAAAATTGACTGTACCGTTTTCATCGAGCTTAATGGATAGACACTATCTCACATTGTATTTTATTCGTTGTAATACTTTTATCAAGTGTGAAAGCAACATGCAACATTTCAAACAAGGCTTATCGTATTCAATCCGAATCGACATCGCTTATAAAAAATCAAGACCTCATGACCGTTCACGTTAATGCTTTCCATCATCAAGAGAATTAAAGCAAAAAAGTTGAAAATTTTTATTTGCGATTTTATTATCTTTGAAAAAAAGAAATAAACGCTCTCTCTTGAAAGAGAGAATCCGTTCGAAATTTCTTGTTCGATCTGAGCGTGTATAATAATAATCTAAAAAAGCCAGCAGGACAATATGAAAAGATTATAAGAGTACCACATGTGTCGTTAATATACGTGTAAAATATTATTAAAGGATCGTTATTATGTTCTCTCCGACGGTTGTGTAACCGTTTCTAAAACAGGACCGTTCGTTCGTATCGCAAGCATGAATACCGCTACCGGTCTGCTCGTTTCATACTTGTCCAACTCTCTCTCTCTCTCTCTCGCTCTCGCCGATAAGCATTCCGACGTGGCTTTAAAATTAATGGCTTTCAACCACGAAGGTTGACGGCGCCCGCTATTGACATCACGCTCCCGCAACGAACAAGGAAGTTGCCGGGACTCGCATGCGCGCGAAAATAATTAAACTCGAGAACGAGTTTCGCGTACGGTCGATCGATATCTTCCTGTCAAAGCCTGCGTTTTTAGAATTATTAGGATGACCCCCGAGTATACATCTTTTTTACGAAACTTTAGAAAATGGTTTTAATTGCTGTCTCTCCCTTCTTTCTTTTTAATCAGCGATATATCATGTGTTAGTATGCTTCTCTTCTTTCTCATAATGTTTTTTCTTCGCTGTGACAACACGCATGGAATTTTTCAAAGAGGAATCCTCTAATATATTTCGAGATTACTGTACAGAATGCCCGAGAGAATCGTTATATTCTTTTAATCACGCGGATGTTGTAAGAAGAAAACTTAAAGAAAAAGTTTTTTCAATGTCGAGAACAGCGATACATACTTTTAGATTATTCAACTTTAAGAGAATTAAATAATGCTGGCAAAAATAAATATAAGAAAATCTTTTTCTTCAATCGAATCTAATTAAGTCAGTGTGAAAGTCTTTCCTTCAAATATTTGAAAGTTTAATATAAATCTTATCAATTAGAAAGATATTTACTTTTTAAACTTCAAAATAAATGTATAAATTGTAACACAGTCAATATCCATAAATGATTGACACAATTTCAAGGAACAATAATGGAAACTCTAACAAGGCGTTCACTTCTCTACGGAAAGCGAAATATGAATTATTGATATCAATATTCGCGAGCTTTTAGAGAAACTAATGGCTCGAACCACTTGTTGGAAGCAAATCTAGCAGAAATGCTTGCATTTCGACAAGACCTTTGACTCATATTCTATGAATTCTACGAATGAGCGAGTACGAAATTATCTTCCTTCGTCTCCAGCGTAAAACATTCTTTCGAACATGCATTTTTGATCGATTAATCTGTTTCTATAAGGCATTTTAATTAAGAATGTTCGATTATTTATTAAGTAACTTGACGCCTAACAGATTACTTTCTCTTTATTGTTTTACGTGAAATACAAAACTAGCCAAGAATAATTTCAAATTATTCTTTGAATATTAATTATTTGTTATAAAATCTATTGATGATATAACGACTATTGACGATTTATTGAAGATTTGTAATAATATAATTGCGTTAGAATTTTTCTTCTAGTTATAATGATTTTATTAAAAAAATATTTATACTCTATATATAAATTTTTACCAACTAATAGAAATTCTAAATCATGAAACTTTCATGCGCATGTCTAGCTGCCGAGAATTTATCTCCGTGAAATTTCGAGAAATGTCACAATTGAATATTCTGGACATCTCTCGAAATTCCATTTAATACTGAAGTGAGCCTCGCTACAATTGACGTTACGCTTTCGATATTAAATATTTTTTACATTTATACTTTATCTTTAATATTACAATGTTAACACAATAATTTGTAAATATTTATATAAAAAGTTAATTTTTTCATAAAAAAAGAGAGAATATAGTATCTCTCTATATGATTGATACATTGCATTTGTAAAACAATTAAAATATTGAAATGTAAACAATACAAATTGATATCTTCATTTTTGATCGAAAATATTTTTTAACAAATAAAAATGACCAGCTTACCAGACCGAATATGTATTACATTATAATTTCATCTAGAATATTGCCTACTTGTTATTTCTTATTCAAAAAGTATGCGACATTTATCGATCGCGTTAACGTGGATAAATATTGCTTTAAGTGCATTGAGCATACATGTGGAGAATTGTAACGAAAATTTTTATGATTGAACGAGCAATCGTGGTTCGTCGGAGGCGACGAACTGCGAGCTACTGTGATGATCATTTGCGAATTGAATCGGAAAACGATTCACCATTACTGTTATGCGCGGCAGTCTTATGTTATGCTCAATGTAATTTACATAATCGCGTTTCTCGCACAACGAACCTTATACGGTGCAAATATTCAGAATCGGTAAATGCAAAGAAATATAAAGCTGGATGGCCATATATATACATACATATATATAATAACATTCTTCCTTTTTTTACTTCAAATGGATGGATCAAGAACAGAAGCTACATGATTATGTAATAGAGAAAGAAAGAGAGAAAGAGAGAGAGAAGTCTTTTCTAATGCTCTATTTGATATAACAAATATATCGAATTATTTTTTCAGGGATTAGTATAAAATGCGGAAAAAGGGGCAATAGAAAATAAAGCGACGATATACAAAGTAATTAAGAAAATTTGAAAAAAGAGTTTTCTCCTCAAAAATATGACGGACATAGCGAAAATGGGCGAAGAGCGCCGCATTCGCATATGAAAGTAAAATCTCCTACCCGAGATGAAGCGCACCGCGTTTGTCGTCGCATATACTTACGACCTTTTATGATGCAATAAATAATAAGGTAACTGTCGCGCGCGACGGTCACGATGAGATGAAGCCCCATGCACCGCGAACAGAAATAGACGATGGATACGCCCCGGTGTCAACTTCGCGAGATATTTTATGAAAATTGTTATTATATGTATGTATATCCTGGCGCACGTCCTTCTTTGTATGTTTTGTTTATTTCAACGTTGTTTTTCTACGTGCGCCGGTGTTTTCAGTTACAGAGAGATTCCGTGTATATATATATATATATATATATATATATATGAATTTGTGTTATTAATATCTTTTGTATTTCATATCTTTATGCTTATATAATAAACAAATACATACAACTGCTTCGTATAACTGTTGTATCGTTTTCTTTTCTTCTTTTTATTAAATTGTGACAAAATTTAAGGATGCAAAACTTTTGCGCATAGAATAAGTTTTATATGTAAATATGATTTTTTTGCTGTGCAGAAAATGGTGTCGAAGAGAGTGCTCAGCCCACAATTATCAGAGCTCCTAGAGATAGAAGAAGAGTTAATCAAAACGTATGTAATATTTTTACCTTCTTTCATCTGTGCGCAAACATGTACATATTTATCTCGGAAGATAATAAATTTTATAGCTTACGTGCATGACTGTATAATAAATAATAAGCTTAAAAGATATAATTTCTCTTAATTTCTATGATATATTAAGTTAGATATATCATTTATGGCGCGTAAAATAATATATTTGCATGTGTATATTTCTTATTTAAAAATATTAAAAGTGTAAAAAATGTAAAAAAAATTGCATAACGAGGTACCTGTTTACTTACGTCACTAATGTATTATACTGTCTTAATAATATAACATTTGACGCAATAGGCAAGTGATTTTACGAACATTGGAGACTGGCCCACCTTAGGAACGCAAGTAGAGGTACGTATCATCATCGATGTTTTGTTGGAAACAGTTATCTTTAATTATATATAAGTGCAATTAATTTTTATTTTTAGTAAAAACTTGCTATTTTAATAATAATCATTAGAACAGTATATTAAGATTCCACTTTGTCTAACTATTTTAAATAATATTTATTTGGACATATAGTAGACATATGCAAAACCTAGAGCTTGCGTGATTTATTAATAAATCTGTGAGTGTAGAATTTTTGCTAGAGAAATGGAATGTTATGTCATTTCAGAGGAGAAATTTTCTTACG